TGGTTATTTTTTTTTTTTTTTTTTTTTTAATTCTAAAATAACTGGGAAGAAGAGGGAAACACTGAGTATTTAAGCTACAAACTTTCTGGAACTCTAACTGGAACAAATGATCATTCCCTCTTTCAAGAGAGCCGCTGGAATTGATTTTGATTCGCACAAGTAAATGGTGTCCCACCCGGTCTCTTGCTACGCTCATTTTAAATCATCCTGTCTCGTCCTTACATTTCCCGCACACGCACACGTACACGCACACGCACAAATATCTAGCTGTGACCGGAGGGATGCGCGTTGTTAGTGTATTAGGGTTTCCACGGAGCAATTCAAAGTCCCCGTTGCACAGGACATGCTACCTGTAAAGACTCTAGCCTCAGGACAACAGGGTGAGTCAAACCACAGGACAATGTCCTGGAAAGATGGGCAAGCTGACACTTCCTGGATTTGCTCCTCTTGTCTAAGTGGTTAAGAGACAAAACATAGATTACAAAGTTACCCCATTTTCAGGTATGGCAAAGGAGAAGCGTGGAATTCAACTACCCGGTCTTCCACAAAAGTTAAGTTCGTTCCCGACATAAATTATAATAATTTACTGACGGGCATGAGAGCCAATCCAGGAATTTATTCGTTGAAATGGATTAAATCAAAAATAAAGTTAAACCAAAACATCAACATTTTTAATACATCACTTAAAATTCAAGCAATGAGTTTAGTATAAAACAAAATAATTAGATTGTTATAGTATAGACAGCTCTATCTTTCAGAGCAAAATTCAGCTCTACACTATTACAAAATCCTTACAATGTAAATATCCACTTTAATTAAAAATTGGTTTAATTGTGTGTAATCGTAAACAAAGAATGTCAAAAATCATGCTTCCCAATACGCTAGGTGTTGAGTGGCTAAGGCCAGACTAAGTCACGAAATGCCAGGGGACTGTAGGCACATTCGTTAACACCTCGTTCTTCAGATAAGAACAGGGAAATGCACAGGGATAGAGGGATGTCCCCAGGCCTCAGGGAGAACCAGACAGTGGGAGCACCAGAGGCCCTGGATCTGGCCCTACCCACATTCATCCTCGTGGCCCTCCCTTCCCTCCATGAAGGAGGGCGGGGTCTCTCAGGGGAGATCTGCAATGTTTCACTAAGTGATGAGATGAGATGAAAATTCACTGTCAAGGGTAAAAATTGGATGGTTGGATGGATGGATGGATGGATGGATGGACAGATGGATGGATGTACTGACAGACAGACAGACAGACAGATAGGTAGATAGATAGACAGACAGACAATGTTCTAATCTGTATAAGTGACTTCCAGCAAAAGAGAATATATCTTTACAATATTTAAACCTGTAGACTTCAACCTGGTTAAAAAACAATCTGCCAAGTCACTATTCTGAATTTCATTGTTGATCTCCCCTCAGATCAACTCATTGTCATAATAGTCAAGATTTTTATAACAGCCACCCGGAAACACATATTTTATACCTCCCGCCCAAAACACAACTTCCTAGTACAAGAAATCAATGTCCCTTTGAAATATGTAATATCCCCCCATCTGCACCAACATCAGAGAACAGCAGGCCACTTACCAGGCTCCAGGAGCATCTGTGTGTGACCATTCATCACCCCATTTGCCACATCTGTGTCCTCCAGAGTGAGAACAGTGGGAGGCTGGAACTTGAGTTCCTCTTGAATTTTTTCTAAGCTGCTCTTCATCTGAGTGGAACTTACATAGTTAAAATGCCACTTCACTTTCTGAATGATGCTGTCTGCAAAAGGAGAGCAAGTCAAGGTGAACATTTTCAGCACAATAGATGTTATAAGAAAATATGTACTAAATGAAGTTTATATTTTAAAGTAAGCTAATGTCATCCAGATTCTCTAGAATGTCAAACTATACATAATGATTACTACATATCATTACTGGTCTACATATCATCAAATGATTACTACATATCATTACTGGTCTCATCACTCTCTCCAGAGCAGAATAATTCAAATGTGATAGTCCACCTATGGAGAAGACAAGAACACCTTCCAGAACCTCAGTGATGAGGGAGTTAGGGGAGAAGAGTTTGATTTTTAGTTCAGCCACTTGTGAGAGTATAATTCTAGGCAGGTCACTGAATATATCTAAGCCTGAGAATGGGGATGGTTATTCTTGACCTAATTATCTCAAGAAAAGACATGTGAAAAAATTACAAATGAAGACAAATACATCATGCAAACTGGAATTACGTATTTGAAAGGTATTGGTTTTACTTCTTTTATTTATGTTAGCATTAATCCACTGCCAAGTTTGGAATGAAGTTTTATAAATATTGGCAAAACAATATCACACTTAATTCTATTACGAGTATAGTTTTACTCATATTCTATTCTTAATAAATAATGAGCAAACCTGTTGCTGGGGAAGGGTCTCCCGTCAGATCAAGCACGCCACTTTAATAGGAAGGCACATGCAGAGATGAGGGGAGAGAACCCAGGTCCACCAGTTACAAATCAATGATAGCCAAGGGACGCTGCGGCTGCGATCTATCTGGTCCTCTCTGTAGGAAGATGTGGGGCTGAGAGCCACAGTCTGACTAGGGCCTTGCGGGGAGACTCAGAGTCAGAGCTCTCAGTCTGTGTCACAGGTCTACCAGGCTGGGACCTGTGTACCAGGGAGCTTCCCAGCACCTTCGGACGACACCAGAAGCAGGTGTTGGCCCATCCCTGATGTGCTGGCCAACAGGCCACACGAGGGAAAGTGAGGGTTATGGCAGTAGTTGCCAGGAAGCACGAGCGGCAGGCCACACTTCCGGGTGCTGGCCCTGCACCAGCCCCCCATTCAAAAGCACCACAAAGACAGTGGCTGTTTACACAGAGACCACGGAATGTCCTCCAGCTCCACCTGTACGCCTGTTCTCCCAAGAGCTCGAAATGCCTCGGACCACACCTGAGAAAAGGTGTGTCCACCCGAATTATCAGGCCGTGTCCCGAAGCCTGAGCCTCTACCAGGCCTCTCTGGCGGCACCTGGGAAAGCAGCATCCTCTTCCAGAGCAGCGCTTCTCAAACTTCCGGTGAAGGACTAGTTTGTTTCTTATTTCTAGACTCTTGCGGACTGATACTTTAATAAAATGCAATGAAAAATACCGCAGGGATGTCAAACACGTTCTCACTTTCTGCACTTACTCCACGATGGAGGAACAAGTCCGCGCACCCGCCTCTGAGCAGCCCAGCCCCAGAGCAGGGGTCAGCAAAATCTCCTTAAAGAGCCAGGTAGTAAATATTTTAGGCTTGTGGGCTCCACATGGTCTTTGTCACAACTGCTCAACTCCGCTGGTGACAAGGTAAAGCAACCACAGGCAACACGTAAAAGAGTGAACGTGGCTGTGTTCTACTTTATTTACAAAAACTGGCACTGCACGTGGGCCACAGTTCGCTGACCCCTGCCCCAGAGGGCTGTGGTGAATAACCTATACAGGTTTCACCATTCCTCCGCCCTGTCCCCAGGCTCTGAGAGGTGACAAGCCAGAGTGCTAAACGTGGAAGCTTTCCAGGCCACTTCTGTCACTATGAAATCTCATGACACAAGGTTGTTCTCCAGTGGTTATGTTACTGCACCTCCAGTGATTTTCCTTGATGGTCAAAGCCATATCTAAACTATAATTCTACGCATACAATGCCGGAAGAGAGAACAGTAAATACGTAAGAGTTTACGAACCAAATTCAAGGAAGGCATACGGCCTGGAGGCGAGGCCAATGCAGGTGGTGTCATAGGAAGCTGTGAATTCCCACCACAAGGTCTCCAGGAAGCAGAAGGCCATGGCTGCTGGACACTGGCGGGAGCAGATAGCCATGCAGGCCACATCCCCCGAAGAAGAAAAACTGAAACGGAAGGACGACATCTATATTACCAGGGAACAGACCCGTGTATTCCCATCCCGCAGTCCGACGCGACCTTGCCTCAACTCTGGACTTGCTCGGCCTCCAACAGCCTCGCAGCTGGAGGTTGCATGCGCATTGTCTCCTCAGCCAGACCTACCTGGGACTGTGCCTTTATCATACTTCCTCGGCACTATCGAGCAGTATTTGCCAATGCCCGCGTGTGATCGCTCCTATTCATTCATGCCCGAGGAGGCATGTTCCATTAGTAAGAAGCAGCCCCAGGCTTCTCTGCATCTATTGAGGAAAATGTTTTTCCTCTTTCATCTCCATCAACAGATTTTCTAACATTAAGTCATCCTGGTGTCCTGAAATAGAACCTTCACGGTTGTGAGTTTCTACGTATTCATATGCATACAACTGCTGGATTGAGTTTGCTAATGTGTTATTTTGGACTTTTGTGTCTATACAAAGTAAGACTGGCCTATTAACCTTCCTTTCCTGCACCATCTTCTTTCGGTTGTGGCACTAAGATTACTCTGATCTTATAAAATAAATGCACAGTTTTTCCAGTTTTTCTCCCTATTCTACTCCTTTTCAGACTCTCACGCTGTCATTTCAGGTTCTGGAGACTCTAGTTCTCCTGTCTGCTGTGCCCACTGACCCCCCTCATCGAGGAGTATCCCCTCTAAGTGCTCTGTCATTTTTGCTGAGACCTCATCGCTGTGGAGTCCATCTTCTTCCTAAGAATCTCTCGAGCGCTGAGTTGTGGCACGCTTTTTTTTTTAACTTTTATTTGTCGATTAGAGTTGACATTCGATATTATTTTATAATAGTTTCAGGCATAGTGCATAATGGTTAGACATTTATATAATTTACGGAGTGATCCCCCGATTAACCCAGCACCCAGCTGGCACTACACACGCTTCCTGCAATATTATGTGACACACTTCTCCCAGAGGGGTTTGGCCGGCTGCTCCAGGAGTGCCATCAACCTGGAACCAATACTGATGTGTGGACTTCGGCTTGGGAATTCCTAGGCCATGGGGAGTAGGAAGTAAAACCTCAAACTCCGATCCTACATGAGGCACAGGGGCAGGTTTTCAGTTTCTTGGGTGAGACTTTTCCTTTCCATCCGAAGCCAAGCAGAGGTGACTTAGCCTTGTGCCGGGGGCAGACTCTTTCTCACCTGTCCTTCCACTAGGGCTGGAGCCTGAAGAGCCCCTCCATTCTGCGTGGGTCTTACTCCGACACCTCACTCTACCTAAGCCCAAAGGCCTCTCCCTTCACGGGTGCTGAAACCCAAGCCCTGAGTGTGCTATGACTGGTGACCCAGGAGCCTCAGCGCTAGCTCACGCACTTACCACCGCGATACTCTGTTCCCCCTTCATTTCTGGCACCTTGGGATTTCTTTCTTTCAAGCTCAGTGGCACATTTAAAAGGATTTTATATATATTTACTCACATTTCTGGGTGTTTCTGGCAAGAGGGTTTTCGATTATGCTGATCTACCATCTTTTTGTAATTGGAAGTCTCTATATAAAAATGTTTTCTATATATAAATGTTTTTTAAAAAAGGATGACCTCCTCCTTATACAAGGAATTTTACAGAAGGACCTAAGTCTCTTTGGGATGGAGGTGTTTCTATTTGAAAAAGGACCCTTATTTGTGGGCTGAAGTGTGTCCCCAAAATGACATGTTGAAGTCCTGACTGCCAGTACCAGTGGATATGAGCTTATTTGGAAAAGAGTCTTTGCAGATGTCATCAAGATGAAATGAGGGCATCAGGGGTTAGGGAGGGCCTTCATCCAATGACTGGTGTGAAATCTGGTCTCAGAGACAGGAGGAAGCAGCCCACATGACCAGGGAGGCGGAGAGTGGAGCACTGCCACTTTAAGACATGGAATGGCAGGGCTGCTGGCAACCGCCAGAGGGCAGGAGAGAGGCATGGAAAGGGTTCTTCCTGAGAGGCTGGGAGAGCAAGTCCCTGCTGACACCTGATCTCAGACGTGTGGCCTCCAGAACTGCGAGAGAAGGAAGCGATGTTGTTCTAGGGCGGTTTCTGGCAATTTGATATGGCAACCTTAGGAAAATAATTCAACTCCTTAACTATAAAATAAGCTATGGCACTGCTCATCTGTAAGGAGAAAGGGCTCCGCTTTTCTCTGTGAAAATAATGGTATTTTATTCAAAATACAAATAAATAGAACATTTTATATTCCACTTTTCAAAAAACCGAAGTACCTAGAATTTTATTTAAAGTCATAGCATTTTTTTCTTCACAGAGAGGTTTCCTAATTTGAGGTCCAGCACAGAGCTCCCCTGGAATGTTAGACAATCAATCACAGCACGGTGAGGAAGGTGGTTCCAGGCACCCGGAGAGAGGAGCCGCAGACGTGGGCAGAAGGCAGCTCAGGTTTTGCTCTGAGCACCCACAGCCCGCAGCACAGGGTGACGGCTGCGCGTGCCTGCCTGTAGCACCCCCTTCAGGGCACATCCCTATTCTCCTGATACCACCTCCGAGCCTGGACTCAGGCCTGGACTCTTCCTTCTGTTTTTCTCATTCTGAGACTGAATTCCCCTAAAACAACCCCATCTTATCAGGTCAACTAAAAACTGTCTATTCAAGGGACTTGGTACGTGAAGGCCTACATGCTGGAGAACAATGACGTAACATCTACAGCAAGCCATTTTGATATTTCAAAACCTGCCTTGCCCCTGATCCCTCCATAGAAGGGCTTTTTGCTTTAAGCCCTAGCATAAGAAATGGTGAAACACATGAGAAACAGACCCTGGTGCCTGACTGCCTGCATTCAAATCCTGGCTCTGCGACTTATTAACAGCATAAACTTAGACTTGAAGTCATTTAACCTCCGTTTCCTGCTCTATACAACAAGCATAATACTACTGACGACCTCATAAACCTTAGAAAGTACTTAGAATAGTGCCTGGCACAAAGAAAACACTCTACGGTATTAGCTGTTATTACTATGATTATTATAACCACTTGACTCTTATTTTCATTGGATTATTTTTCCCACTGTATTAGTATATATTTCTTATTCCCTCATTAGACTTTAAGTTCCTTAAGAAGAGGGACCTACTTGTGCTCATTTTTCACTCTCCTGCTCTTGTCACATAATAAAGTTTTTAATTAAAAAAAATATTTTAAGTGAAAAAAATTTAAAAAGCAAAACCTGAAGGCAACAACTATAAGTCAAGTCATTTTTATTTTCTTGGCTGCTCACTCTTGTCCATTACCTTCCCTGCCATTTTAATCTGGCTGGTATCTCTTCCCTCTTCACCTTTTCTCTACCCCTGCATCTAATGTGGAAAAAACTACCAAACTACAAGCATGAAAGCTGGTTGGACCTGGGTCTCCGGATGCTCATGGCCACCACTTCCAAAGGCAGGGGTTCCAGCAGCAACACCTGAGGCTCCCTGATTCTGCTGTAAATACAGACAACCTCAGACCGCTGGTCCACTCTTAACACACAGCGTGATCAGCATAATGTTACCTCGACATACGGTTCAAAGTAAGTAACCCGAATTTTGCTAATGTTCTGGAAAAGTGAACATGCTTGCTTACTGTATACTGAAGTCACATCCTTGTGCAGAACCGCGACCTGGATACTGGGCCAGTCGCGAGGCTAAAGTCTTGAGCCGTCTCCTGCATTCCAGAAAATCTTGGGTGTGGTAAAAGTCAGTGGAGGCCGAGAAGGGCAGTCCGTCCCTCACCCTTACCACACAGGCAAAGAGGATCATGGACATGGTCCGCAAGAGAAGTCATGAGGACACCTGAGGGAAGCAAGGTCACCTTGTTACTGAGAGCCAGATGTCAGTGCCGGAGATGCCCTGCCCGCGAAATGTGCGCTTTGGGTGATTTCATCCTCACCCCCACTATGACTGCGAATGTGGCTTTTATTATTTCCCTGCTCTCTATAGCTACAACACTCCCAATCTTCCTCCCTTCATTATCCTCCCTGTGTCTTTACTTGTGATCCTTCTTTTTCCTTCTCTAATGAATCTCTCCTTTTCCAGAATTAAACCAACTAGGATGAGGGAGGAAGGAACAGAGATGCAAGGAAGCAGGACCAGACGGGCTAAGGAGCAACCGCAATGACAGCGGGACACAGGTAGCAAGATGGCTCCAAAGGGACTGGAGGTGCCTGCCACTGCAGCGGCAGGAATGAGGTCCAGGGACCTGTGCATTTCAAGTCATCTAGAGTAGTGTAAGTCATCCAGAGTAGTGTAGGTGCTCAGCAGTTTAGCTGCCATATCCTCACCTGCAGTGGAGGGATTCTAAGCATCTAACCTAAAGAAGGTAGCAAGGAGAGCAGAAGGCAAAAATGGAACTGAGAGAATATAGTGTCCTCCTGAATCTGCAAATTTTTGATACAGAGCCAGTCTTCAAAACGATGACTGAGCTCCTACAGATGGCTAAAGGAAGTCATTTGGCAAATATTACAGTAAGACACTAAATATTTGGCCTTCATATGTGAGCACCATTAAGAAACAAAAAGAAACAAATTCTGAGCCCTTATGATGCCTTTGGCAAATGAGAACAAGGTGCTTCTCAGGGTTGAAACAGCCTGGACCAGCTCTGCTGGCAGAGCCTGGCTGGGTTTTAGCCCCTATCTGTTAACTCTACAGATACTCTGCTTGTACAGGGCATAACGTGCACACCAGCCCTGCAGCCAGGGGTTAGTGAGACGGCCATTACTATGCTAATGGGTCTTTCTGGGTTCCCGTGAATCCTGTTTCACAGATCCTATTTACCTGTTCCTCTACTTGATAGGATGTGAATAGGCTTGTACACCTGTGGACTTTTCTCCCAAAAAGCTCTAGGGATGTAACCTTATTTGGCATCTCAGTTCCTGTGAGCAGTAAGAAAGGGGAGCCCCCAGGATGTGTGCGGCTCTCGTCATCTGTGCCCCTGTATTCTTCGCCTATATCTGCGCTCCTCAGATCTCCCCATACCCAAATCCACATCAAGACCTGACTCCAATCCTCGCTTTCCATGAGACCTTCCCAGACCTGTCCAGCTGGAAGTACTTCTCTCACCTCTAAATTCTCAGAGAACCTACTTTTTTGTTCTCTATTTTACTGATTTATTATTTCTGCTACCTAAGTGTAAGTTCTAAGAATAAAGATATCTGGAATGGATTAATGAATGAATGATTATTCCCATTTTACACATGCAGAAACTGCAGTGGTATAAAAACACAGAGAAGGTAAAAAGAAAAATTAGTCTACCAGCCTGTAAACCCTACGCAGTCCATTTGTCCCCTCTCCCCACACTTTCCATTGAGGAGTTAAAATGTGAAAAGCCCCGCGAAAGATACAGCCACACCATTGTTCCCAGCACAACTGACAGGGCCAGGCCAACTGCCAGAAGATCCTGTGGGCTGTATCTCAGCCGCTTGGCCAATGCTGAGACCTCTAGCACCAGAAAGGGCATCAGGGGATGGATAGATGGCGGTTAATAACATTATCTTCTATACTTTTGTGAATGTTTGAAATATTTAATTTAGAAACAAAAAAATTTAAGAGTTATAGGGCACAAAGCCCTAACAGAGATAGGAAAAGACTATGAGGTCAACTTGAGACCAGGGCTTAGGGTCTAAACCAGAACTTCAACTTACTTGCTTGCTACTTTGAGAACAGTGTTGTATCAGTCAGGCCATTCTGCGATGGATGTAGGGAAGTGTTTAAGAACTTGTAATAAAATTGTTTCTAAGAACAGTACTTGCCCCCCCCACACACACACACAAAAGACAATGACTCAATGAGATACCAAGAAAGTCAGAGACAGGACAGAAACACCCTCAAGACAAAATAAGAAAGACACTTTTTTGGAGGCTGAGCACATTGTATGTTCTTCTAAGGGAAAGCTGTATGCATTTATTCCAACTGCCAACCCCAAAATATCTACTCTGTAGTGCTGTCTTTATGGAGCAACTACTCTGTGCCAGGTATCACGTTAAACCAATAAAGAGGAAAACAGCGACCTTTCTAAGGGATAGTAATCCAAAGAACCAGTTTTAGAACCAGATTCTAGAGGCCTTAAGAGTCCCATCCCGGCTCTACTTCATCCATGTTATTCTCCTGGTGATCGAACCTGCTTTTCCTCAAACGACAGCATTTAAGAGAAATAAAAACTGTTTTTCAGCTCTATCAAGTTACTGGTATTGCACGCTAGTGAAACCCACATCCGTTTTTAAATATTTTAAAATATTCACGATGCTTCAATGAAGCTGACACTGCGACGTTAACTGCTGTTTGTGTTTGAGGGTGTATGTGAGTGTGTCAGTGCACAGAAAGGCAGAGGCCTGAGGGGTGGCGCGGCTTTGCACCTTGCTGTGGAAGAGTCTAAGACAGAGACAACACCCCGGAAGATTTTCCTTTGTGCGAATGCACTTTGTATTCCGTAGGATGAAAAACAATTAATACGAATAGGAAGAGGCTCGTCTTTGCATTCTCCACACTGCCTGGTAAGGGCTTTGACGTTTGTGGATTCAGGTTATTCGAGCTCTATCACGAGACAGTCTGTACTTGGGTGAGAGATCGGACCACTGCTCAAAAATGAATGAACTGGGGACTTCTGCTTCTTGAAAGGTGAAGCTGAAGTACTTTTTTCTACTCCCACTAAATACAACCAAAATCCACAGACCTTATAGATAAAATAAACATAAGAAGATTCTGAGGGGTGGAGAGAAGGCAGACTGGCTGGGGACCTCGGTACGTCCCCAAGGAATGACGCAGCTGTGAGTCTGCTCAGTTTTCTTTTTGCTTCATACATTCCAGTCTAGGTGCTGGAGAAGATGGCAACCCAGAAATGCCAATGGGTATAGACAAAAAAAAAAAAAAAAAAGCCCAACAACAACAAAAGCCTGCTCTCCCTATCAAAGGTGCAGCCTAGCAAAGGACAAAACTTTTAGGCAAAAACGTTCTACTCCGGCCAAACACCACAGAAAGAACTGCAGCCACCACATACCCACCAGCAAAGCCCAAGTGAAGAATCTCAGACTTCTGCTCTCATGGGGTGGTAATGAGGTATCCTCCCAACTCCCCACCCTGCCAGGGCAGTTTAAGAGAAGACCAAGTAGGGAGCCACAGGCAGCAATGAGCCAAACTCGCCCACTGTCACTGAGGAGACAGAATTCCCCTCTCTGCCCAGTAATACTGAGGAGCCCCCTCCCTTCAGGGAGCCACAGAGGCCAAGTGGAGAACCTGGACTTTTACTCCCACCTGGCAGTAATGAGAGAGTGCTCCCACCTCCCCTGCTAGCACAGAGTCGACAAAAGCCAACTAAAACAGAAGATTTAAATAAGATCCAGAGCCTCATAACATAATACCCAAAATGTCCAGATTTCAATAAAAGAAAAGAAAAGAAAAGAAAATCACTAGTCATACTTAAGAAACAAGGAAAATCTCGAATAAGAAGGGACAATTGGCTGATACCAACTCCAACATGACACAGAAGATAGAATTATCTGACAGACTTTAAAGCAGCCATCATAAAAAGGCTTCAATGAACAATTACAAACATACTTGAAACAAATAAATTAAAAAATAGAAGATATATAGAACTAAATGAAAGTTTTAGAATTAAAACAACACAATAACTGAAGTAAAAAAAAAATCGATGAATGAGCTCAACATTCATATGGAGGGGACAAAAAATTAATGAGTAAACATGAAGACAGAACATAGAAATTCCTAATTTGGACGATCTGAGAGAAACTAGATTGAAAAATATTGTACAGAGCCTCAGGGACTGTGGGAGTATAACAAAAGATCTACATTCATATCACTGGAGTCTGGGAGGAGAGGAGAAAGAGGGCAGGACTGCATTCAGGATTCAAAGAAACAATGTCTAGAAACTTCCCAAATCTGGTAAAAGACATAAGCCAACATATTCAAAAAGCAGGTAAACTCCAGAAAGGATAAACCCAAAGAAATCCATGCCAAAACACATATTAGTCAAACTTAAGAAAACTAAAGACTATAAAAATCTCAAAAGAAGCAAGAAATAACACCTTACCTTTGGGGGGAAAACAATTCAAATGACAGCAAACTCATAGAAATTATGGAAACCAAAAGAAAGCACATTTTTCAAGTGCTAAAAAAAAAAAAAAAAAAGAACTGCCAACCCAGAAATCTCTATTTTCAGAAAAAAAAAATCTTTCAAGAATGAAGGGAAATAAAACAGTCGGATGAAGGAACACTAAAAGAATCTGTTGCCAGCACATCTGCTCTAAGACAATGGCTAAAGGAAGTTCTCTAAACAGAAAGAAAATAATAAAAGAAGGAATCTTGAAACATCAAGAAGGAAGAAAAAACAACAGAGAGAGTAAAAACATGGAAAAATACAATGGACTATCCTTCTCATGAGTTTTCTAAATTATGTTTGATGATCAATGTACGTAAAGGAAATATTTAAGACAATTATAAGTAGGGGAGAGTACAAAGATATAAAGGGATGTAAAGTTTCTATGTTTCACTTGAAATGGTAAAATGCTGACACCTGCAGACTATAAGTCATATACATACAAATATATATACATGTACATCTATATACTGAAGCAAGCACTAAAAAAGCTATACAAAGAGAAACACTAAAAAACTATACATAAAGAAGAATTGAATTCTAAAAAATGTTTGAATTACTCAAAGGAATGCATAAAAAAGAAAACAATAAAAAAAGATCAAATAGAAAGCAAAAAATAAAAGAGCCGGCTTAAACTCTAATATATCAATGACTACGTTAAAGGTAAATGGTCTAAATATACAAC